ATACTTGAGTCACAGCACATGGAAAGATCATGTTGATAATGAACTGGAAGTTTCCTCCCTTCTGGCTAGATTTCATGGTGCTAGGAACTGCTAGGAGGAGCAGAGTCATTAGCAGTCTTACTCAGCTGTCAACCCAGTGAACTATAGTAATGACCAGCATTATAAGATATACTCATGAATACAACAGTGGCAGGAGGGTCATCGGGGAAACCAAGCACTATTGGATTTCAGGCCCACTTTACAGGAAGATGTACATGCCCAATACTGTAAATATGAACAAGAACCCACAGTCAGGGAATTCACATACCTCAGGATTGAACCTACTATTATTGCTTTGCTACATGGATATAGTATCAAACTTCCCTCTAAATACTTATTGTTGTGTCCATAGGTCAGTGCAGCTCTGAGACCTCATCCAAGAAGCTTCTTTTCACAATGGGCTGTTCTTAAGTACAAAGACTCACAGTAGGTCAAAATGAGAAAAAATGACTGTGACGTACTCAGCCCTAAATGGAACATCTATATCATACCCATTCTCCTCAAAGCTCAGAGATCCCTGTAGAGGGAGGTAGAAAGACAGTAAGAGCTTAAAATTGTGGAGCGCTGCTGAGAAACAGTGCTTTCTAGACATGACCACTGCACACATGGACTCACCAGAGCTGTGGCTGCCTATACAAGATCTAGCCAGTAACAATTCCATCACAAATAAGAGATGGAATCACAAGGCCCTATCTCTAGCTAAGGAGCTGTTTTTCTCGGGAAGTGGGTCCTGGTCAGTTGTCAGGGCTCCAATGGATGTCGCTACACACATTTCCACAGTGACAGTACTCACTGGACTCAGCGAGTTAAAAAACAACATAAGAGCAAATGCAGTAGGGAGGGTCCTTGGGGTTCTGGGAGGAGTTGGATAGGATGATGGGGTGCATATGATTAAAACACATTGAATACATGTATGATATTCTCAAAGAATAAATTCAAAGTTTAATTTTAAAAACCTTTTAAGACAAAGGAAAAGATGCAAAGAGAAGGAGGAATGGAGGAAAGGAGAGAGGAAAAAAGAGAGAGGGATTGAGGGAGGTCAATCCCCTGAGCCTCTGCCTTCAGATCAGTATGACTCACTCACAAGATCACTATGTCCTGTGCCTTTGCACTGCCCTAGGTGTACAGACACGTGTCCCACAGGGCAGATAAGAGACAACCTGGAAACCCAGGCTGGAATATTAGACTTTGCCCCATAACCTTTTCATCTTTCCAACCTACTTCTAACTTTTTAGGCCAATACTTAAGTTGTACTGGGTAGAAAGTGGTGGGGAAAGAATAGGACCTAATTGTGCTTCCTTGCAATCAGAGTCAAAAGTAGATTCTGAAACTGAGCTTGCTGGAGTCACCAGCCAGGGAGAGCAATCCACAGATAGCAAGTGGACTTTCTATCTGATGACATGGCATACTACAGCCAATGAAATGACTTTAAGAGCTGCTGACATGTACTGAGCCTATGGACTGTGATGGGTATAATAGTTTAGCTGTGCAAAGTAGTTTGAATGCAAAATCCTCACAATGTATCAGAGATGTAACTGTAAATGACTAGAAAGCAAAAACACACAGAGGTTAAGTTGGTTACAAACCAGTTAACAATAGGACATTCCGAGAAATGTGTCACTAGGTGATTTCTACCCCTGTGCAAACATCATAGGCTATACAAACTTGGATGGAAGTGCCTACTATACACTTGGGCTATAGGGTACATACAACCTGCTATTCCCAGAACTGCAATGAGCAAAAGAACTCTCAAAAAAAATCAAGTAAAGAGAAAAATGCAACTAAGAGAGGCAGTGACGAAGCTCTCTCTGTCAAGCAACTGCTGGTTAACAACACAGTGAGTCACAACAGACTTCTCTAAGTAGGAGAATGCTCTAACATAATGATCAGTACAATGGGACACACCTGATCTGGCACAGTCCCCGCATCCCTACCTAGGGTTCTGTGCTGACAGTGAGCAGACCTGTGAACACCAGTGGCACCCCAGGGACATGAGTCATGTGTTTTGAGGTGAAGACATCCAGATGCTGCAGCATCACCAAGCCCCAGGAATTCTCCAGCTGCAAACCTGTAGACCACACTGGACATGACGGCAACAAGTATACACAGCATGCCACTAGAACTTGTTTAACCAACAACCCCCTAAGGCATGCCTGGCAAACATGTCTCCACACCTCAGAGTGCCAGCCCTATACTGGGCCCATGATGTCATTCCCGGAAGTGACAACACATGGAAGAGATCTGCCAGCCAGACCGATACCAGTGACCAAAACAACTGGTTCCATCTTTGTATTTCTTTTCTAAAATCCTGAGGTGCCAGGGAGGGAGTTTACAGTAATGAACTGTGCTAAGTTTTCTTCCTTTTCCTTCTGGACTAAGAAGATCACTTCCTCATGTTTCCAGTGAGGACTTAAGGCCAAGGAACATCATCAATATGCCCCAGGCTACTCTGCTGCTGAGGCCAAAGCTACCTTGAAGTTCTCAGCATTTCTTTTCTATATTTATTGTTTTTCTTAGATATTTTTCAAAACTTAATGTCATTTTTTGTGAATTCCGTATATCTATACAATGTATTGTGATAATACGAATTCCCTAGGCACTCTTTTATCCCTCTCCCATTCCTGCTCAAGCCATACTTATTTCCAGCTAGCTTTCATGGCTTGTTGTGTGGAGAGGATTAGGGATTTTGAATCATTAAGCTTAATTAAAGTCAACTGGATGAATGTGGGTGGGAGGCTATTTGCCAGAGCATGGGCAACTTACCAAAGGCCACCCCACTGAATGGCATCCCCTGCACCCCCTGGTACACACTAATGACCACCATATCCCAGGGAAGGGTAGGACTTCACAAGTGCTCCCCAAATCCACGATGGAAAGTTGGGGGTTTAATTTTGTATTGGTCATGAGCAGGTTCCCACAGCTCCTGGGTGTTTGTGGTTACCCTGATGATATCACCGCCAGAAGACTGTTTCAGAGCAGCCCTTCCCATCCTCTGGCTCTTATAATGTTTTCATCCCCTCTCGCACCATGTTTGCTGAACCCAGGAAGGGGTGATGTCCCATTTCAGGCTGAGCACTCAACAGTCACTTATTCTCGGCACTCTGCTCAGTTATGAGTCTCTGCACTATCAATCCCTATAACAAGGAAACTTTCCTGACCAAGGGTTTCTTGGGCCTGCCTCTGACTCCCTTTTTCCCCATTTACTACAAACACAAGCACAAGCTGTATTTATTGAGCTGCTTTTATAGCAGGCCTGCCAATTAACAGCAGCACTAGTCCATGGATATAAACATAAATTTATATTTATATTTATATATGAATATAAATGAAAGTTCACTCATGTTATATTTATATTAAAATACTAGAAAGTGCTTTAGCTATATGTCCACTTAGCAAAACAACAATAGTAGATTCTGCCCTAGAGTGACCTCGCCAGCAGCAGGCTTTTAACCAGTTTCACAATATCGGGCATGAAGTCTCTCTGCAGACTGGGTTTCAAATCCAATGAGAAAGCTATTGGTTTCCCCCATAGCAGGCATGTCACTATGCACCAGTGGGTATATCTTGCCTGGCAGATTGGTAGTATAGTATACAGGATCCACAGCTATATAAGACTCCACTTGGATTTCAGAGTCAAGTTTTACTCTGTAGCACAGGCTGGCCTGGAGCTATATAACCCAAGCTAGCTTTGAACTCATAACAGTCCTTCTGCCTCAATCCTCCGGAGTGCTAGATACAGGTATAGCCACCACATCCAGCCCTTCTCAGCAGTGTGTACCCTTATTACCCATCCATTGTGCTTTGGAGACTAACGGCCAGGTCACAACAAGGCCTTTGAATCCCTGCTTTGTGCTCAAACCACGGGCATGCTCACAAATTAAACTCCGTTTTCGTCTCCTGTGTGATGCTTCTCTGTGATGCCATAGCTACATCTTAGTGGCGGTTACCACAACAAACAAAATCCAGGAGTGTCAGACTCAAAAGCACCATCAGGGCATTAGCTGATGATTTCAAAACCTCCATTTTCTTATTACCAGGAATGACATCCTTCCCCAAAGGACAGACTCACATGCAAGACTTACTCCAGGGCCCCGCCCCCACTCCACCTGACCACCTGGGAAATGGATCAGGAAATGGGGCCTCTAGGTCACCCTTGGCACAGCTCCAAGGTAAATGCTACTAGGAGCTAGACTCAGGTTGGTGGCAATAGCTTGTGGGAAAATGACACTGGGATTTCCAAGCCTTGAGGTGTGTTGCTGGCTTTACCCTAAGTGATAATCCTTTATGGATCACAGGCTCTAAATAACTCAGACAGATCTTGGCTTTCCTGGCCTGCCTCCAACTTCCTTTTTCTCGGTTTATTACAAACAAACACAAGCTGCATTTTTTTTTGAGCTGCTCTTAGAGCAGGCCTGCCAATTAAGTCATTCGCTTGCATATGTGTGCCTTCTCTATCGAACCCTCAGACTATACCTCAGACCTCATCTGATTTCATCTTAAAATTTGTGGTAGCCACTTAGCAGTAATGAGCTCAGGTCTGTGAACAGCTCTGGAGAAGAGAAGGATCTAGAAGAATTTCTCCTAAGTTTTAATGTTTTGCTTTGTTCTGAGTCAGGGTCTCACTATGCAGCCCTAGCTGGCCAGGAACTTGATGTGCTGATCAGGCTGACCTCATGCTTACAGAGATCTGCCTACTTCTGCTTCCCAAGTGCTGGGACAAAGGTATGTGCCACCGTGCCCAGCATGTTCTAATATTTTGCAAGACATATAGACTATAGGTGTCTGAAGGAACTGGAGATAAATGCAAAACTCTAAAAACAAGCTGAATACAACCCCACACTAAAATAGCATTGACACAAGCAATTTGCATGTATTCTTAAATATGGAACTTATAAGGACATTCAACTTTCAACCAAGGAACATAAGTACTTCAGAGAGTACTTTAGGGCATATTCAAATGAGAGTTTAAGTGTACTTAGCTCACCTTTGGGGAGGATGGCCTGGGGCATGGGCTCCGTTTGGGCCATACTGTGGGGGTCCAGGAGGTAAAGGGCCTGGGGGCAACAGCCCTGAAGGCGCAGGGGCTCCCAATGGCCCTGATGGCTTCATCATGCCTGCAACATGAGGGAACAGTTATGCATACATTAAAGTCTAAGAGAGATAACACAAAGAGGAAGACTGAGGAAAACATGAGTGAAGGAGGAAGGCCAACTGCTAGGACACAGGCCCTTCCAGCCTCCCCAACCACCCTCTCCAGGGTGGCTATTGTCACTTGTTAATAATGCTATTAAAAGAACAAAAATGAGTAATTTTTTTTTTTTTACCAAATGGAATGTTAAATAAAGGAAATAAACTACATTGGTGGAAGTGCCCTAACAGAACTCAGAATCTCACAAACACTAGATCCCACAAGGAAAAACAAAAAAATATATAAGGTGGAGATAAAATAAAATAAGTCAGTAACTCAGAAAGCAGCCTGGTAGAGCATCCTAAATGCATACAAGAGTAGCCCCTGACAGTGCCTTTGGAGAACTGGCTGCTACTCCAGCATATCCTGGGACACTCAGAGAATGTGGGAATCACACACAATGACTGATGCTCCTTGCAGGGACCACTTTTCCTGAAGAGGCACCTCAGAGAGAGGCTTAGTTAGGGTTTCTATTGCTGTGATGAAACACCATGACCAAAAAGCAAACCGGGAAACAAGGGGGTTATTTGGCTTGTACTTCCATATCACTGTTCCTGAGGACAGGAACTCAAACACAACAGGAACCCGCAGACAGAAGCTGATACAGAGGACATGGAGGATGCTGCTTATTAGCTTGCTCAGCCTGCTTTCTTATAGAACCAAAGACCACCTGCCCCAAGGATGGCACCACCCACACTAGTTAAGAAAATGTCCTGTAAGCTTACCTACAGCTAAATCTTATGGAGCCTTTTTCTCAACTGAGGTTCCCTCCCTTCAGATAACTCTAGCTTGTGTCAAGTTGACATAAAACTAACCAGCACAGAGAGTGTTAAGGTTTCTCTTTGGAACCCTTTTCAGGCGGTTTTCTCTTTCCTTCTAAAGCAAGGGTGGCAGAGGAGCAGCCAAGCCTCGTAATGCTTGCATTAACTAGCAGTTGCTCACAGATAGACAGTAAGCCTCCTCTGAGGACCTCAGTTTTCATCTTTGTAAAATGAAAATGAGATCTACTCTCTACAGCCTGGTCGCTTGACCTTTAGCCCTAACCCCCCTCTGTGTGGCCCTGTGACCTCCAAGCTGTCTGAGTGTTCTCCTTTACACCTGGTGTGGCATTCACACTAATTTCTTTCTGTTCCCTCCCCCGGAATACATACATTACCCCACTGCCACTCTGCCCCCAGACAGAAGGGAAATGACAGCATGGACTGCAGTCATCCAGGAAGACCTTGTCAGACATCTATCTGGCTATGTGCATTCATGAAAGTACTGTCATGTCCTTGGATAATCCAACACAAGTGCCTGGTGAAGCAGTGGTCTTCATGATTGACTGTAGACTGAAATGCCTATCAAGCCTCCTTTCATCAAGCATGAGTCCTTGAACTGAAGACTGTCTATGCTGAGCCCAGAACCCCACTCATGAGGCAAGCCCCCAGCCAACAGTCCAAGTCAGAGCCCAGCCCTCTTTTATATTTTATCACTTTAAAACACAGTCTCATTAAATTGCCTAGGCTGCCTTTAAATTTGCTCTTCAGTCAGTCAAGGCAGACTCTAAACTTTAGTCTTCCCACCTTAGTCTCCTGAGCAGATGAGATCATAGGCCCACACCACACCACAGCCTGAGTGAGGAACATTATCTACTAACTTTATAGTCAACTTTCCATATAGGACAAATAAAAACTATTACTTATTTAATTTTAAATTGTTTTAATGGATAAGAATATATATATTAGTATGACAGCATGAGATATACTCATAGGTATAGTCTGTAATACTTTTACCGGGTTAAGCACATATAAAGAAAACACATCATTTTATGGCAAAGCAACTGAACCCTCTTTCTATAGTTATTTGAGAAACACAGTGCATACATGGTACCTCTTTGCACCTACTCTACAATACCACACCAGAGGCACTGCTTCTATCTAACTTAGTTCCCGTTAATCAGATATTCTCATCTTTCTCCCACTACCCCCAGCTTCTGGGAGCCACCATTCAATTCTCAACCTCTATGAGATCAACTTCCTTAGCTTCCACATATGACTCACATCATGTAGTATTTTTCCTTCTGTGAATTAAAAAAAAGTTCTAACACTACAATTTTAGATGATACTCAGCAATGTTAGAGAACCATGAGGTTTGCAGTCACACTGACTGCGTTTGAATGTCTTCCCTACCGCTGAGATGCTTCGACCGACAAGACAAGACATTTTGTCTTTCAGACCCAGGACTTTTAAGGCTGTATCATAGCTGTAATGTCCCTGCTCTCCAGGACTGCCTTGAGAATTAAGCGAGGCAAGAGGTATGGGAATACTCAAAACCATTTTCTCTTGCCTGGCCACATGCCCTGACTTCCTTTTCATTTTACTTTTTTTAGGGCTTATGGTTTAATAAAACATATATAATTAAGAGCACACTATATTTTTTATTTTTAAAATGTTATTTTGGACAAAAGTAGAAATCCACAGGAGTATTGCCAGAATATTTCAGGTTAAGTAATTACCACTGAAACAGGAGCCGGATACCCTTACCTTTCAAATAAGTAGGTATCTTAGTTAGTTCTGTTGCTAAACTAAACACCATCACTAAAAGCAACTTGGGAAAGAATGGATTTAAGTTCATCTTACAACTCTCAGGTCACTGAGGGAAGTCAGGGCTGGCACTCAAGGCAAGAAGCTATAGACAAGAACTGAAACTTTTTCTGAGGCCATGAAGGAGCTTTGTTTATTGGCTTGCTCTGCATGGCTTGCTCAGCCTGCTTTCTTATACAGCTTAGGACTACATGACCAGGGGTAGCACCATCCACAGTGGGCTAGGACCACCTTCTTCATCAATCATTGAAAAAAAAAAAGTCCTTCAGACCATTCTGGTGGAGGCATTTTCTCAATTGTGATTTCTCTTCCCAGATAACTGTGTCAAGATGACAAAAACAAAACAAAAAACCACAAACCCCAAGCAGTATAGCAGGTTAGTGGCCAGTTTTAGCAACCTCTCATGTGTCAGGAGACTTTAAAGCAGCTCAGAGGCACACAGAGAACTGTTACATATCTGTCACACTCAGATCTGCTCTCCCTCTGGCTTTCAGAGGATAACAGTGATTCAAACTCATTCAACTTGCATTTGGCATGCCCCCAGTGCATTAAGAGCACTTATGGAGGACACAACCATGTAAGAAATAGTGACCCTGTCATGTGACAAGTGTTGCAAAATGCAGAGGGACTCCTAACCCTTCCTGGAGAAATCAATGAAGAAAGACAGCTTGAGATGCCCCTCCGGGACAGGGACTTAGATCAGCGACAGGATACAGATTCTAGCCAGAAGTGAAGCCTGACCAGTGGTCTGAGAGAGCACGGCCTAATCATGGCTAAGGGTCAGGTGGGCACAGCAAGGTGACAAGAGCAGAAATCACCATACAGATTGGCTAGAGTCAGATTACAAAGTCTGGTGTGTCATTTGGACTCTGTCCCCAGGGCAAAGGGAACTCGGTATCGTGGTGACCTGCAGAGGCAGAGTCTTTGATGGAACACACAATTGGCATTTTCAAAAGTCACCAGACACAAAGATGAGCAGGTTCTCTAGAACTGGGTGGGGTGGGGGGGCAGGGGGACTTTAAGAGGAAAGGAATGCCCCAGCAGCAGGAGAAATAACCGCTTATGCCAGAAGAAAGTGTCAAAACCCATAGCCATCTTTAACACAGTGTCAGGTACTATAGGCTGGGTTACTAACTAGGAGCATTAGTCACCTGCAGGCTGGCCTTCACATACGGTCCTGAGCTAGAAACACAGACTCTATTTCCTACTACCCCCCTCCCTCCCTCCCTCCCTCCCTTCCTTCTTTCCTTCCTTCCATCCTTTTTCTATGCAAAGCAGCACACCTTTGAGAAACTTGGTCCAGCTCTGTGGCACAGGCTGTCCTTCTGGCCTACAAGGAAGTGATTTTTGGTAGAATGGTCTTGTGTGCGCAGTGCATCTTTGTAGACTGAATAAGAGGATCCTAAGTACCCGGCTTGGCCTTTCTCTGTGTGTTTCCTGATATCCTTTGACAAATCCCTTCCTACTACAGGATTCTGTTATCAGCAAAGGGATTCTGGTCAAAATAGTATCACAAAAAGCAGACCTTAAATTGGAACCTATTTCTAGCAAAGGAAAACAAAAATCAAAGAATATTTGTGGGGGAAAAAACTTTGTCTAAAACAAACAAACAAACAAACATAAGCTCCCTGTTATATTTGTGAATCTTAATGGCCAGTGCTCCCAAAGCTCTGAGCTGGTGGTTACCTGTATGAATTCATGGTGTAGTAGCAGCCTTACAACCACCCCAGGCTTGCCCCCACTTCTAGAACAGTAACATTTCTGGCCTCTCTGCTTCCAGCCACAGATGATCTTTGCCACTCAACAGACACTTGGAAATGCCAGGACATTTTCATGTGCTAAAAATCCTTCAGGAAGAGGAAGGTACCACTGGTGGACATAGATCATAGACCATGGATGCTGCTAAACATACAGGGCATCCCCTTCACACATACACAGAGAGAGAGGGGGAGGGAGGAAAGGAGGGGGTGTAGACAGACAGCGAATGTGAATGAGTTCATGCCAGATGTCAAGAATGCTAAGATTTAGAAACCGTGCCCCAACACAGTATATATCCACCCCTAGTTTCTCCACCATGCCTTCTAATACCCAGTATAGTTCTTTCTCCCAGTGCACTGGAGTGCGACCCTTTCCAGTTTAAATCACTCCAGTGACACCTTTGATATGGCCCCATTACTTTACTCTTTAATATCTCCCACTGCTCCCACTGCTGAGTGTCTAGTTTACACCAGCAAGACACCTTCCCACCTACAAGTCTCACTGGTCTTTCAGGTCATTCCTCTAAGAAGATGCTTTGTCCATGACCCCATCTCAGAGCTTGGTACTTCGCTCCTGCTACTGCTGCTGTGTGCTTCCCTGACACCCTCCTCTTTCTTTCTGAGACACTCCCCACGAATGACAATTGTCAAGCTGCTTATTGCATGTATGTATGTATGTATGTATGTATGTATGTATGTATGTATGTATGTATGGTGCTTGAGATAAGTAATATGTGGACTGAGACTGAGATTATTGTATTTGCTGTCTTGCAACAAGTACTTTGCTCACTCAATAAATCTGTTAGATTTGTTACCACGTAACACAAAAATCACAAGAAACACAAATCAATGGGTGCTGATAGAGTTGCAGTTTGTACAAATCACAAGGCAAGATTTGGCACTGGCTTCTCTAGTAAAACAGATACTTCAAAAAGTCACAAATATGTTGTTTGTTAGAAAACCAACAGAAAGATCACATACAGTGTGTGTGTGTGTGTGTGTGTGTGTGTGTGTGTGTGTGTATGTATGTAAAAACCCAGAGCCTCCTGCACACTAGGCAAATGTTCTACCACTCAGTCCCTCCACCTAGTACAACAGTGTCGAAAATGTTTAACATCAGGCACAGTGTCAGGAGGATAAATCAGGGGGAAAGATGTATATGTAAGCTAGGGAAACATCTGAAGGAATATGAGAGAGACAGTTGCGAAGAGAACATGGAGGACCATCATCTTCCTGAGAAGGCAGAGTGCTAACCAGGCACCAAGTATAAATCACCACTCCAATGACAAGTTGGTATCTGTGGAGTAATGGATGAGGAGACAGTACAGGTGAATTGCAAAGAAGAAATTGATAAAATAACAAAAGCCTGAGGAACTTAATGTATAAAGAGGGGCAATGGGAAGTCATACAAGGTTTTAATCCAAGTGTGTTATACAAAATTCTTCCAGTTCAAGAGCAGATGGTCTGGAGAATGGCAGTGCCAGGTAGAAACCTAAGGGCTAAAGGGCTGCTTGTGACCTGGGTGAGAGATGGATGAATTGAACAAAACAGTAACAGAATGGAGGGGGAAAGAGGTAGGAAAGATGTTTGCGACTGCTCAAGACAAGTTTGGTAGATAGGCATTAATACATACACAAATATGCAGGCAAAAACATTTAAAATAAAATAAAAGAAATTTAAAAAAAAAAACCTCTTGGGAGATTGACTGGATTGGAATAGATAAAAGATTAAAGAGTCTGTTTTGATTTTGGAGTTTTTGTTAGTTTCCTTAAGACAGGGTCCCATATAGCCTGGAATGGCCTTGAACTTGGCTATCTATCCAAGTCTAGTCTTGAACTCCTTACCCTCCTGGCTCAATCTTTTGAGTGCTAAGCTTACAAATATGTGCTGCCACAGCTAGTGTGTTTTGGTTTTGTAATAATGAAAGTTTTGGGTATCCATCCTAAATAAGTGATGCTCAGATGTGATGTGGAATACCAGTAAAAGTAAGCTTCAATGAAAGAGAACAAATTGCTCTGAATCTGAGTATGCCATGATAAGTCACTAAGTGAGTAAGTAAACAGGTGAACAGTGAAAAACACTGGCCAGGCATAGAGAGGACTTCTAGGCTGAAGAAGCAGACCTTAGAGGTAAGTACATAGTCGCCTGTCTTGCTGTAAGAGCCAATTCAAATGATGTTGTTATGTCAAACCATGGTTTCAGTTAATGACTACCAACTAGGAATATCACATGTCTCTGAGTCCAGGGAATGAATAATCATATACAAGTGAAAATAACATTTACCTGGTGGAGAAGTTACATGGGACGGATCCCCATAGTGTCCATAATGAGGGGGAGAAAGGCCCATTCCAGGCTGGGACTGAGAATACGGGGGTGTTGCCACATAACCTTGTTGGCTCATTATGAAAATATCATTCCAAAGGAGAGCTACTGGAGAACCCTGCAAGAGTAAAAACAAGAAGTAGGCAAGAGGATTTGAGATACTTAATGCTATTACGAATATAAACACTAGCAAGAAACATTTAGGATGTCTTGAAAAACAGTAGAAGTGTCCATTCGGGAAATATCTTCATTTTATACAACATTATGTAGCCTATTATTATCCCCTGGATAAGGTTTAGGACATCTCTTTGGAATTTAGTAACATCACTTCAGTGGTCCCAGGAAAATTTGCAGGCACAAATCTGAATAGTAATTGCGAACCACTTTTTCCCAGCGAAGCTTTAATTGCTTCCTACCGTCTCTCATTGGTATTCCTACAATTCTCTATCTTGGTTTCCATGGCCACATTTTAAGAGAACACCATGCGGTTCAAGTGACTGACCACGATTACAAGCAGTCTGCAGCCTCATGTTTCATGACTTGGATCTTTCTGGTGCCCTTCTAATTAGTCATCTTAATCCATATTAAAACAAGGAAAAGCCATAGTCCATCAGCTACAACCTGAGATAGGACTGATAATAGCTTCTGTGAGTCATAATTTGACAAGCCAGTGGCAGCTCCAACCATCACTGTCCAAGATGCCAGGTAGGTTTCTGACTTTACATGATGTCACACCTCAAAGAACACAAACACCTGTATTTAAGGAACCAAGAAAGAAGTTCCTTATGTGGGTAGTCATATGCAATCACAAATATAACAGTCCCATCTTGAGTCTATTCAGAACCCAAATACCAATTAGCTTTACACTTTAATGTCTCCAAGTTTTGATAAAATGTATCTCTTAAGGAGGTTTTCAAAAGATATTTGTTTTCTTGGCTCATTGGTTGTCGTCACCCCCCAACCCCCGCAACACATGGGGTTTCACTGTGTAGCTAGCCCTGACTGTCGTATAACTAGCTCTGTAGAACAGGCTGGCCAAAAACTCATAGAGATCTGCCTGCCTCTGCCTTCCTAGTGCTGGGATTAAAGGCGCGCATCACCACTTCCTGGCTTTCAAAAAACATTTGTGAGAAGACAGGAGAGGCTCTGAATCCCAGCAAACCGAACTGGGTTTTCATTTCCCATCTGCTAATGCATAGCTTTGAGACACAGAGCAAATTGAAGAGGCTCTCTGGGCTTCTCTATTTTCTAATTTAGAAAATGAAGTGTCCAAAAGCCATAATACCTGTGAAACACTGATTCCCTAGTTTCTTTACAGTTTCTCCACCAGACATTTGCATAACTCTCCTGTCATTTCTTGTTGCTGTTTTTTACGGCAAAGATTAGCAATGCCTTCTAAGACAGGGGCTCTGTCTTTATTCTGGAAGTGGCATGCAAATCTAAAATGTGAAGGCCAAAATTCACGATTTAGCGTTGTTTTCATATTAAAACTTAAGCTTCTGAGTGGCCACCGAGAAAAAGTATTATGAGGTCACTATCTTCTTAACGAAGGACAGAAAGGCAGAGACAAAGGTCTCCAGTCCACTGTGTTCCTGACAACACTTTCCCTCCTCCCACTGCGCATAGAGAGACGTGGCAGCCTGCTTGGCCCCATCCAGCCCAGCCCCTTTAGAAGACCGCACCGGCACACCCACGCAGCAGCCGCGGGAGGGAAGCGGGGCAGCGATGCTCACAGCACAGAACAGAGAGCAGCCCAGCCCTCTTCCCTGGACCTGGGAGGAATTCGCTTCCTCGCCCTACTGTGCCACGTCAAACTTCCTCACCCAGAACACCAAGTTGCAGAAACCTGACTCAGCTGCAAGCGGCGACATGGCAGAAAGCCACTTGGCAGAGACCGGCCTCGGATCCAAACCTAGAGCGCTCGGATTCCACAAACACACCCTTCCCTGTCCACTGTCACCCGGGACA